AGGGTTCTATACACTTTATTTGAATGGTTCCACACCCACAAGTGTGCCATGTACTTTACTTGCATAATTAGTAAGCTGTCTAATCCCCTTGGTGGGCCACAAACATAGTCCAATCCAGTTACTGTGGGACTTATAAGACCATGTATGGCTAAAGGAGCCATATTAAGTAATTCACTGCACCATACTTGTGGTTCAAATATGCAGTCATTATTGGGGTGGGGAGGATATATACCTGGATGTATACCTCAAACTTAAATTGTTATGTCAAAATTTATGTATAACTTGCACCTAATTGATGATGCCTAAGTGTTTTCTAAAGAAGTTGTACCACTTAACAGTTCCTGCAGCAGAATGGTCCTCACTTCATGTTAGTGTTATAGGTGGCCTGTTTAAAATATGTTTCAATACTCTAATGTCATCTTACCTTTTTAAAACTTTATGGATTTGCTTTTTCATTGAGCATCACAGTTGAACAGGAATGGATATTTGTGTACATTGTGACGTAGCGATGAACCTTATTTTCTTCTTTCACATGTATATCTGATTATCCATTTTTTGAAAAGACATTTTTAACCGATATGTCTGCAAATTCTGGATCTTACGTTTTATTCCCCACGAATGTAAAATGTTCTGGGGCACAAAATAAAGGGACACTCAACAATATTGGGGACTTTTTGGTAAGGTGATTGCCAAAAGCAATGACAACATCTGTGCCTAGGGGAAATGTATCACTGTGTTACGATGGATCACTTTTATGTGGCCTTTCTTGTCATGGTCTTGTAACTCCTACCCAAGTGATTGGGTAAGGCCGTGCAAATACGGTCTCAGGAACCCTAATGAAGGGATTGGTCAATTTTGCCATCCCACTAGGCTTAAAAAGAGCCATCCCAGAGGCAAGAAAGAGAGAAGATCTCACCACTACAAAGGAAGAGGAGCCAGGAGCAGAGTGAGTCCTTTGACTTGGGATCCCTATGCAGAGAAGCTCCTGGAACCAGGAGACAGAGAGTGCTGTAGCACCAAAGATGGCAAGAAGCAATGGCAGAGAAACAGCAGAAGCAGAGGCAAGAGAACCAGGAGACTCCAGGAGACTGGGAGGAGACCGGGAGGAGACCGGCAGGAGACAGCGCAGTGGGCATCCCGGCCTACAGAGTGAGAAATCTGAATGCCTTCGGGCAGAATGCTTGCTGGCGGAGTAGGGTGCCTCTGGGTACTTGGTGGAGGTAGGTTTGCAGACCCATGTAGCTAGAGCTGGGCATCTTCAGGCTGAGGCTTCCTGACTGAGTGGCGTGCCTCTGGGCATTTATCTGTGGAGCTAAAAGGGCTTTGTAACACTTGCTCAAGTTGGGCAGAAGCTGAGGGCCAGAGAGAAGCGTGCTTGTGGGTATAGCTGGGAAGAGGCTGTCCTGATGGAAGGACTGTATCCTGAGCATTCCTGAACCTGAATTGTAAGCTGTTCTCTCCCTAATAAACCTCATAATCATTGTATTGTCTGTGAGTTCTGTGTGGCCATTGCAATAAATTATCAAAACCAGCAGAGAATTAGAGAATGCCTTGTGGGGGTACGATTGGTGTCAGAATTGGCAAAGATGGCAAAGAGAGGAGGCGTGTCTCACTTCTGCCTCATAGGAATCAGCCTTGGGATGTTGATCTTGATTCTCCCTCCCCCTTGTGAAGTTAGAGGAGGTCGGACACCGCTGCCATGCCATTTTTACAACCACTCACATTGAATTTTCTCTTCAGCCTACAGGTCCTGACTTTCCAGCAGCAATAGAATCTATTGAAGAAAGGAGGAAGAGGTTCCAAGATTTGGGTTTTGTCATTTCTGGGGACACCCTTCAAGGGAGACTGAGATTTCTGAATGATAATTTAGAGCTGATCCAGAAAACACAGCATCCTGGATGCTGGTCATGTCACAAGAATAAAAGAAAATGGTCGAGGACCAGGTGACTTTTGGTTTGTTTTTTGCTTTTCTTTGTTCCCTAATGGATTTGTAGAGGCCTGGCGGCCCTTGGAGCCCTGGTGGCACAGTGGTAAAGGGCTTGGCTGCTGACCAGCTTGGCTTCGGATCTACCAGCTGCTCCTTGGAAACTATATGGGGCAGTTCTACTCTGCGCTATAGCGTGGCTATGAGTCAGAATCAACTCGACGGCCATGGGTTTGGTTTTTGGTTTTTGATAAAAGGTTAGTTCAGTTAATCTAAAATGTATAAATTTAGAAAAGTCAGAGGTGGAGAGAAATAAACTTAGACTCTGATTTCAACACCAGGCAAAGTAGATTCAAGAATATATTGTTCATGAGATTAACAGTAAATTATTGACATTGAACATAATATGTGACTGGATGATCCTGTGGGTTGTGTAAGCTGTCAACTAACATGTAATATTTCTCTGGCCAACATAAGAGAATCATTATAATTTAAATGATATGCCCGGTTTTGGGGGAGAAAGAAGATTAGTGCCTCAGGTGATTTTAATATTTCATGGGAGTTTTATCTGAGTAAGTTTCTTTGATGGTTCTTCCTGTAGGTGATGTGGTGGACAGTGTCCTGAACAGTAGCATTTTCATAATGCAAAAGAAGGTTTCCTATGGCTGTTTCTTCCCGGATTCTTCATAGACCCCTGTAGGAATAGACCAGGAGACCAACACAAGTTAACCTATGGACTTAGCTTGTGGTGGTCTAGGTTTATCTATTAGTTAAACGTAAGCATACTTGTAAAATGGGAGCAATGCACAGCTGTCAAATGATTCTCAATGAACTGGTGTTTGAGTAGAGATTTGGAAGTAGGAGGTCTGTGACCTTCCACATGCCCTTTAGTTGTTGTACACCTGAGTTTTCCTGTCTGTGAAATGGGGATGATGATAAAGGAGTCCCATACGGTTATTGTGGAGATGAAATTAGTCTGTTTAGAAGAGTGTCTAGTACATGATATGAAAGAGCATCCAGTGTCCCTGATCTTTCCAGTAGTTGTTATTGCGGTGTTATCAAGTGTTATCACTCTTCAACAGTCTGTATGGTCAAGTGTTTTCCGGTCTTGCTTTCTTTTGGATTTTTCTTATTACTGGTGAAGTTGAGATCTTTCTTGTGTTGGCCAGTTAGATTATTTGTTTTCTGAAATACCTGTAGGTATCCTTTGCTCATTTGTAAATTCTGATTAGTCTTACTGATTTAAAGGAGTTGTTTCTATCCGCTGTGTATTGATCTTTTTTTAAATTTTTTTTAGAAAATTTTTTTTCCAAACTGTCACTTGTCTTTTTCCATGCAGAAGTTTTAAATTTCATGTTTTCCCTTTCTGGCTTTTCACCTGTGTCATAAATATATTCTGTATTTTTTTCCATTATTTTTATACCTTGTTTCTTTTTTTTTTACATTTAGGTCTTGTGTAACTTACCTGTTGGTTCCCAGCAAAGTGTTCCAACATTTTAGAGGCTTAAAACAGCTCACATTCACTATCTCGCAGCTTCTGTGGTCAGGAATCCAGGCACAGCCTCTCTTGGTGCTCTGCTTCTTGGTCTCTCTCAAGACTGCAGTAAAGGTGTTGGCCAGGGCTGGGGTCTGGTCTGAGGCTCAAATGGGGAAGGGTCTCCTTTCAAGCTCACTTGGTTGTGGCCTGGATTCAGTTTCATGAGAGCCTCAGTTCCTCACTGTATGTTGGCCAGAGGAAGCTCTCAGTTTCTTGCCACTTGGGTCTCCCAAACACGGAAACTTGCTTCCTCAAAACCAGCTGTACGGAAGTAACATATCTAATATGTAATTTAATGACAGAATGGCATTCCATCACTTTTGTCGTATTCTGTTAGATAGGCGAAAGTTGCAAGGGCAGCCCATGCTGAAGAGGGGACTGTACAAAGGTGTGAATATGACCACGAGGCTGTCTTAGAATCTGCCTGTCACAGGTCTTTTGTTCAGTAAAAACTTATTTGTGAGCGCAGAGTGAGATTTTTGGATTTTGCTTCTACGTTACTCTGTTTTCTCTTTCGGAAGTTATGAACAGGCATATGTTAGACATTCTCACTCTATTCATGTTTACTAACCTTTCCTTTATATTCTGTCTCACTCTCTTCTACATTTTCAGTAATTTCTTAAATTGTAAATTATAGCTGACAATTATCTGTTTAGTGTATTTATGTGCTGTTAACTTGTCTGTTCACATACATACGTGTGTGTATATATAATGTGTGTGTGTGTTTATTATTTTTCCCAAATCCATTCAATTTTCTTGTCTCTTGTTCTTTAAATATTTTTAATAGCTTCTTTAATTCCTTTCTACAAATTAAACACACTTATTAAAGATGTCATTTCTTGTAATTCAGAGACCTGAGGTCTTTTCTCTGTAGATTCTGATACTGGCTCTGAAGGCTCATGTTGAATGTAGGAACATGTTTTATTCTCCCAGCTGTCGCTAACAATTATTTATCTCTTAGTATATAGATAGCCAAATACATATACACACTTACACACACAGACACGTATGTATATACATGTACTATGCATATACGCACACACACATATATCAACATGTATACAGATACATATTCACATACACATGATTATGTGCATGTGTGTGTGTGAATGGGAGATGTTTCTAACTTAGAGGATCTCACTGCTACTCATTATAGGAACTTCTGATTTGATGGATGAGTGGATGATTGAATACACAAATACAGAGTATTTTGTTAGAATTTTGCTTCTTTTACAAGGTATTAAAAAAACACAACATTCAATATATAGATGCAGCATATGCGGTATATAGAGGAAATCAGCAGAACAACTTTCTTCACATTTCAACCATATCATCAAAAAGAAGTAACGTCATGAAATGGAACCCTGTTATTACAGGCGTCACTGACATTCAGCGATGTGGCTGTGGAATTCACCTGGCAGGAGTGGCAGCTCCTGGACCCTGCTCAGAAGGACTTGTACTGGGATGTGATGTTGGAGAACTATGGGAACCTGGTGTCCATGGGTGAGGACAGCTCCCCTGTGTCCTTCAGAGGGTGGCTAGTCACTGACCTTTCGTTTCTTAACTGTTGCAAGCTTTGGATTGTCTGCTGCTCTGAAGTGGTAGATTCTCAGTCCACCCTGCACCTTGAGATAAGTGGGTCTATTCTCCCTCTCCTGAGAGAAAAACCTTTACTTCATATGACTGAATATTGTTTTTTGACCAGTGTAGCATTCTGTAGTCTTCACAAACCCAATTCCAACTTGGTGAGTCTAAGATTCTGTGATTTCCCATGAACAGGGTATGAAGTTAGCAAACCAGATGCACTCTCCAGGTTGGAACGAGGAGAACAGCCATGGACTGTGTTAGACGAAAGCCATAGTCGAACGTTTTCAGGTGAGTGAGCGGAAAGCAGCAGTGGGAGAAGTCTATGGAAGTCACATTCTAGTCAGAGACTGTTCTCAGCTATGAGGGTGTCTGGGGATACATAACAGTGCCTCCACATACCCCTCTCTCATGTGAGTCATCTTTTTCTTTGTAAGAGTTTAGAGAAAAACATACCCATGTATCCCTTCTGTGATCAGAGCCCTGTTAATTTGACATGCATCTTTATACTTCTGTTTGCATAGTTTGCTTATTCATAGGATTCTTAGATTTTTACATTCTTTGTATCCTTCCACCTCTCTTGCTGTGAAATTCTACCTTCTAGGCCTCTCTCCACAGACAGAACTTTGAATTCATAACTGTCCTCTGAGTATGGCACCTTCCTCCCCCATTGGTAATACTGCACTTGATCTTAGCCAAAAGGCTGAGAAGTGATCCCCACTGAGAAATACTGATTTCACTTGCTTACATCCAACCCCTCCTTGGATGTTGTGCCCCCACAGGAAGCTGGTCTCTCATTGTGCCTTTATCTGCTTCCTCATCTTCTCTTTTCCCCCACTCTGAGGTTCTCCAAAGGTACTCATTTTCATTTTCTCATTTGTTCTCTTAATCCTTTAAAATTCCTCCATTCTCTTTTGATATTGTCTAACATAAATTTTATTCTGTGTATTTTACTCATTTGAAAAATCGTTTTTAAAATCCTACATTCTCAGATCCAGCATAAACCAGATCATAATAACATCTACTTCAACTTAATTTCTTTGTATATTTACTAAGTCTAATCTTTCTCCTAATTCATTGTAAATGTTATCACTGTATTCACTTCATTGCCTTAGGAGACTGTTCTAGTTACAAAGCTCTATGTGTTAGAATGATTAAAACTTTTGTTCTCTGAACATGATCTTCTTCTATTCTCTATCCCTAAGTCGTATTTATATACTAAAGTATTTCGAATTTTTACCTCCAGTCAAAATTTTTCTCAATATTTATGAATCCTTGTGAGTTTCATTTCTGTACTTGGATGTGTAATAACCATCTGGAAATTGATATGTTTTAGAATGTTTGCTTGAACATTCTGTGCTTCAGTTATTTCAGTTAATTCAGAAATTATAATTTCTCATCTTGTTAAAAGATAGTACTGAAGTCAAATCCTTAGCCACAACTCTTGATTCCTTACTTTCTTTACCTTAACCCAACCCCCCAACCTTGGAAACAATCCATCAGTGAACCTCTTCCTCCAAAATGAATCTTCATTTCCTTCTCCCTACCCTCTCTTTCAAACCACATTTCACAATCTACAGCTAACTTTCTTTATGTTTTTCCTTGCTTTTTTAAATAATTTTACCAAAGTAGAATATAGGCTCTGTAAACAAAAAGAACATTTGTGAACCACCAGTACCTTTACTTTGTGTGTGCCAAAATTGTTTTGTCCCAAATGTAGCATTCTGCATTGTTCTCAAATCCAACTTTCCCTGCTGCATAGTTGTCATTCAGTACAGATTTGTGGAATGAATGAATCTGTACTTCACCATTTTGGAGCAGGTGGCCCTCCATCCCCCTTGTTTGCTGTTCACAGTGACTTGCTTGTATTTTACAGTCTGTACACATTTCGCTTGGCCTTTTTTAGGAAGCAGCTAAGTCCGTGTTTATTTGTTATATATGATCTATCCTTGTTTCTATACTAACTGCCTTTACTGTTAGCGTTGTGTATATTATTGTGTGTTTAGCAGTGTGCAAGGAATATTGAGTGTGGAGTTTTATTTACACTCATACCATAGGGTTGTCACTAAAGAGCCACTTTACATCAAAGCACGTTTTAATCAGTTTATTCCTAATGGAGATGATGGAAGGATTCATTGTTCTCTTCTTTCCTAGAAATCTGGATATTTGATAATCATCTTCCTGAGCACATGAAAAATGAAAACAGGATGGATAAAATGAAACAATGCTATGAACATAATACATTGGAAAATATTGTTCATCAGCACAAGAGTCGTCTTCCCTTTACGCCAAATCATGGTATATTTGACTTACACGAAAAATTTGTGAGGTCAAATTTAACTTTAGTCAAACAGAGCAAAAACTATGAAATAAACAACTCTGCTGAGCTTAACAGAGGTGAGAAAATCTTTCACCATGCTGACCATGAGCAGTTTCATACTGACTCTAAATTCCCTGACAGTCGGATATCCAACACCACTAAGTGCCAACTCATTAAGCACCAGAAAACTCAAAAGGTAGATAAACTGCATGTATGCAGTGAATGTGGGAAAGCCTTCATCAAGAAGTCTTGGCTCATTAGACATCAGAAATGTCACAAACTCTTTCAGTGCACTGAATGTGGAAAATCTTTTTCTCAGAAGTCAAGTCTCATTAGACATCAGAAACACCACAGAAGAGAGAAACCCTTTCAATGCAGTGAATGTGGAAAAGCCTTCCCCACGAAGCAAAGGCTCATTATACATCAAAGATCTCACACAGGAGAGAGACCATATGGCTGCAATGAGTGTGGAAAAACTTTTGCCTATATGTATTTCCTTGTTAAACATAGAAGAATACACACAAGAGAGAAATGTGTAGATTCAGTCAAAGTGAAAGACCCTTCTGCAGCTCATCACAGTTCATCACATACCAGTGATCTCATGCAGGAGAAGAGCCCTGTTAATACAGTGACTGTGCACATGACTTCTGTGGCAGCTCAGACATCAGTAAACATGAGTGGACTCCTATCAAATAGGAACGTAGTCCTTTTGGGACAGCCTCTTGCCAGAAGTGACACATCAGATAATAACACTGATTTAGTACAACAAAGAATCCTTATGAATGCAGTGAATGTGGTAGTGCCTATGAATGCAGTGAATGTGGTAGTGCCTTCAATGACCAATTATGTCTTATTTTATGTGCCACAAAACCCAGGAATAAACTGAGATAAATTCACTGGGGCTAGTGACTAGCAAAAATTTCTACTTCATTGTATGGCTACAAAGTGTATCCTGAGGGGAATCATATGCAGGAGTCTGGGGAAAGCCTGATATGCTCATTGTACATAAATATGTGCATTGATATCGAGATGTAATCTGATTTTAAAGCAAAATCATACACATCAGTTGCTCTGTTGTGTCAATGGAATGAATGAAAGTCTGAGTTCATGCCTGTGGATGAATTAAGTACCATGGATTTTTAAAACAAAAGATGATCGATACCTGGAATGTTGCTTCTTGTTGTGACCCCATGTGCGACAAATGGCTGAAAAGAAAGTGATGTTATGCTGCAACTGAGAGGAGAAAAGCTGCATCTGGAGTGGCCTGGGGCAAAAGCCAGGTTGATTAAACAATATGATTGATAGGGGGCCAAGGTCTACTGGTTCCACCCAGCAAGAGGCTCAAGGCCAAATACATACGAATGAAATTGATAGTCAAGAGATGGAGAAAATAAAACTAGAATGTTTTAAAAAGGGTTATATGTTTATTTGAATGTACTATGGATATTGAATGTTTCTCCTCCTTTGTGTTGTAGAACACTAAATGTATGATAGAAATGAATATTAAATGTTATAGATTACAGAGAGTATGTAACTCCACTCAGCCAATAATTGATTAGATATGCTAAAAGGGGAACTAGAATTTGCCCAAAAGAAACATAGGCTGTTCATTTCAATGCAGTAGCCCTGTGTATACCTGAGCCCCTGCTTATCCCTTGGGAGTCAGGAAATTTGCATTTGACAAGATGTGCAGACCCACCCAGAACTGCTGAGAGAACAGGAAATTTGCATTTGAAGGAAAGATCTGCATAAAAAATGATTAGTTTACATTTTTAAATTTTGAGCAAGCAAGCAGTTTGCCTTTAGGTACATTGAGGCAGGAAAAGTCAGTGCCCATCAGAAGAACCCCCTTCCAAGACTAGAAGTTAAAGGGAGCTGGCGAGTATAGACAATCTAGGATGCTCACCTGTGGTGACCACCTGGGTCCACTCATGAGTAGAAATGGGGAAAGTTCAGCACTGAAGAGATGGGTTCCATTGGTACTCCTTAACCTAGCCCATGGGGGCTGAGGATGAAAGAGAGAGAAAGGGCTAACTAGTCTGAAGTACAAGGAGTTGTATGTACTCCCAAGTCTACGAGTAGTACATGTTGACCTAGCCCATGGGGGACTAAAGATGAGAGAGAAAAGGCTGGCTAGTCTGAAGTGCCTGGAGGTGTGTGCAGACTCCCGAGCCTATAGTTGGTACCCATTGACCTAGCCCGCAGGGGCTAGGGATGAGCTGACCAGAACCCAACCGAATGAACAGAAAGATGTTTAACACCATGAGCTGGTGTAGATTACTGCAATTTAATGGCCTGCTCTGGTCCGGAATTTGCTTATGGATACAGATGCTCAAAATTCCAAATGGAACAGAAGATTCTTCAAGACCAAGGAGCATGCTTGTTATCTCAGGGTACTGGCTTGATAGGGACAGGCAATTTAAACATTAGCTATCAAAATGAGGGAGGTAAAGGCATGAAGTGGCTGGCTTATGCACTTTGGTGAGTTTGCTTACGCTCAAAATGAGGGAGACAAGGGAGGATCCCCACTGAATAGATTCCTCTTTTCCTGATGGATCTGGGGAAGAGAGGGTGGGGGAAGATACTGATAAGATTATATGATTCAGTTGTGAGTGTGAATAATCTCTCAGTGAAATTTTATCAGAGGCCAGTAAAGGTGAAACCTGAACAGATCAGGTGAGACACCTACAGCAGACCTCAGTGGCTGGTACCTGGGTGACCTCACCCTGAGGACTCTGCCCTACTGAAGGACTAATAGTTAATGACTGCTTTAAACTGGTAAAGTGGTTGGGAGAGGGAGTTTAAATTTTCAGGTATAAGAAAGCCAATGTCTGAGAGAGCCAGGGGGTGGTCTAAGGTGCAATGAATTACTTCTAGCCATAGTCTTTGTAACTCCCACCAAATGACTAGGTGAGACTATGCAAATGAGGTGCTTGTGGCCCACCAAGGGGATTGGATAGCTTGCTAATAA